CGATGCACGTTTTCTCAAGCTTTCGCAAGTACGGGTAAGTATTGTACAAAGAGTTCGATAGTGGGGTTTACCCTTTCTAGCGCATCCAACCCTTCTTACGAGTGTAAGAGGTTTTAAGGGTGGTAGAGTTTAAGGTAAGAGGATAGGAAGGTATGGGGGGTAGGGGCAAGTAGAGGGGAATTCAACCGAAGGAGGGAATCGAGACTTCGGTCAATTAAGCTCAGGAAATTAGAGTTTTAATTACGCAGTCATTCAGAAAATTACATCGGGGCCGCGCAGGAGCTAGTTTTAGAATCGCTTGCTTGCTTCCTTGCTTGCTTGCTTGCTTGCTTTTCGAGCTACGCGAGGAACTACGACTTCGTGTACGGATTTTTTAAAAGGGGTCTTGCTTTGTTCTCTCTGTTTTTTCTTTCTTTTTTTGCCTTTTTTACTTTCTCCCTCTCTTTCAAACAAAAATCTTGCACGAGATGGACTAATCGTTGGTTAGCAGGTACTACGCATGCTTCCAGTTTAATCGGGCAAAAGATCAAACGACGTCTTTCGTCGTTTCCGACAATACAAGATAAAAGTAAGAATGCTTTAAGAGAATAAAAAGAAAAGTGGTGGCTGAGTGGATAAGTGAATGAGAAGAGAGTCGTTTAAGAAACACTTGAGAAAAGTAAGAAGATGCAACGAGTAGTGGTTGTTCCTGTTGTTGGAGATATTAGATCTTTATAGTAACTGATGGTTTTATCTTTAGTACAGTTTCATTGAGTACTAGATGTCATTTGAATTTTGAACCAAACGCAGACCGGTTCCTGGCTATTATTATTATTATTGCTATTATTGTTATTAGGGATGACTAAGTATCAACGTTGAAACGCGCAGTGGTTGTAATTGATGCCCAACTCTGTTCTATAGTCTAGGCAAAGATGAGTGCTAGAAAGAGAGAGAGAGAGAGAGAGAGAGAGAGAGAGAGAGGGAAAAGCAAAGGAGGAACTTGTAGAGAAGTGGAATGGAGTAGAGTGGAGTGTGAATTGGAATAGAACAGGATTGAAAGCCGTAGAAGGTGCGGGCGAGAAGGTGCGTCTGTTGAACGTAGAGTTGCGGGGGTTAAATCTAGTTACATGTTCGGTGACGGCTACTCGATAGGCCATACCACCACTCGGTGGTGGCAAACCAGCAGCTAGTCGTTCTCTGCAGTTCATTCGAGGGTTTGCCGAACTGATATTGCCGTTTCCAGGATCACCACTCGATATTCGATTCGGGGAGGACGTTTCCTCTTCTGTTCGCTCGGAGACTTCCTACCTCTTAGGGAATACATAGTTCTGTGTCATTCAGTACACTTGTCTTCTCTCTCTCTCTCTTTGGCACGTAATTAGTCTCTCCTCGTAAGCTTCATTTTCCTCTTTTTATTTTTTATTGTTCAAGTCTGAAGAGGAGAAGCGATCGTTGATCGATCACGCGAGTGAAGGAGTCTCTGGAATTTCAAGAGGAGAACGGATCGTTAGCGAACTGTTAGACAAGAAGGAAGGAAGGAAGGAAGTCCATGGTGGGTGACTCTTTGAAGATAGGAACATTAGGAGTCGAGATGATACAAGAGGGATGCTGAGAGGGAACCTGGCGAGACGGAAAATAAAAGGAAAGAAAATGATCGTCCGAGAAGGAAACGTTGGATAATGGAGAGAGCGTTAATTTTCCAAATGAAAACGAGGCATCCATCTTTGGCGAAATACTTGCTTGCTTCCTTGCTTTCCAACATTTCACCGACTTAGCCATTCTCCCGCTTAACGCATTACAGTAATGAATTAATTTTCATCCAAGTACTTTTTCTTTTTTGTCCTTCGCTCATAGTTCTATACATTTCTGGATTATCACTTCTCCGCTGTTCGTTATTTTTCGGTTTATTTCTTCGAATGTTTTCATTACAACTAGAGATAGATCGTCTTTAATAGGAATCGATGATCCTATTAAAATGACGCGATTCTCTTTGACTTATCAAAACATTATTCGGGATTCGTTTTAACATGCATTAAACGAACGTTGAAATATTTCAAGTGGAACCGTTGTCGTAGTCATCGTCGTCGTCGTCGTCGTCGTCGTCGTGCATGCATACTTGCGAAACTAATGCATAATGCATTTCACATGTCCGCGCAATTACATTTATAATTACATCATTATTAAACGCGCGCGTGAACTCGAATCTATTATACGGGGATGAAATTTATATATGCGTTGTGCTTTTACGTGTTCGCGCGTAGTGCGGTTCGACAGGGCGAAAGATCGGAGTATCGAATCGACATCATCTCTTTCCCCCATTGTCATTCTTTCTCATTCTCCTTTGGCACTTGGTTGTTTGTTTGCTTCCTTCCTTCCTACCTTCCTTCCTTCCTTCCTACCTACCTTCCTCCGTCCGTTCTTGTTCTTGTTCTTTTCTCAAGTCTGCCAGAAGGCTAAGCACGGCGAGCTCGTTAACGTATTCATGGGGTTTATGGGACAATTAACCCTTTGAGGGACAGTTTAATTACACAGAAGCGATTAAACATCTTAACGTATAAACACGTCGGACTCGCGGTTGGTATGTGTGTGCGAAACGCGCGGTGGCAGCCAGGGTGCGGCTGTTACCAATTAACATACTAATGACACGAGGTGCTTTTCAAGGGCCACTGTGTAACCGGCTGCTGCCTGTAAAGCTTCTGAACCTAGCAACGTATACATAAATGTATGGTGTATGTACATGAATAACGTCGTCGAATATACTCTAAGGTAAGTGCGACGTCTACGTCTATACCAAAGGATTTTTCGGTTTAAAACAAAAACTCTACGAGTTGTCGAAAATAGTCGACGAAAATTATTCCTCGGTTTTAAGTAAGAATTTTTAATTGTACACCTCAAACATTTTCTACGATATGCAAAAGAATCAAACATATGTTTATACACGTATATATTTGTAAATGTAATAGTATAGTAGTAGTAGTAGTATAGTAGTAGGTACATATCTCTGAGTATGCAATTCGATGCCGCGTTATTAAACCGGACGTTAGCGTAATTACTCATCAACCATTAATCAACATTGTTTTAGCAATTAGGAATTGCCGGGGGATTTAATTATTACAGCAATTAGCGCATAGTTCCATCGTTAATAACTTTCGCCGTTTCATCTAAACGTGATTTATTGCGATCAGGAAGCTCGAGTGAGAGATAGAGAGAAAGAGAGAGAGAAAGAAATCGAGTGGGAGAGGGAGAGAGAGGAAAAAGGCGAAAGAATAGTATTGCTGTGAGGTATAACGGTGAATAAATAGGCGACACGTCGATGAAAATGCACCGGTTAACTTCGATTCGAGCGTTGAAGGTATTCGATTAATTAGAAGCTCGAAATATTGCTGTTCTCTATTTCTATTAAATATGGTATCGCGCATCTATAGGGTTGCTGGCGATGCACACGTTGACGTTTGAAATTCGATATATCGACAGGAAAACGATACATTTCAACGAAGTCTCGATACGCCGGCGTAGCAATGTTTTTGATACATCCGAACGATCCCAAGTACTATTGAATATCGCTGATTGCTTGCTATGTAAACCGATTGCTACTTCGATTTCAATTTTCAATTTAATATTTAGTTTTCGATCGTCCTTTGGCCAGTAGTATTAACTAAAACGGGGTAGGGAAGAGAGAGAGAGAGAGAGAGAGAGAGAGAGAGAGAGAGAGAGAGAAAAAAAATCATTTGATCGTGTAGTTAATATAACTACGGATAAAACTAAAATCATTAGTTCAACTTTGTGCTCCATTTTATGTGTTATACGCATACACGTATACACGAGCAAATGTATTCGGCGTGCAGGTACAATTACACATGCACAATGTTACTAGTATGGGTATTCAAATACGCGCGGGAGCACAGAACAAGCTTCTGAAAAGTTGGATCAAATTTTAGCAACATTTTTTTTCAACTCGTTCTCTCAGTCGTCGCGTTGGGTGCGAAATTAAAAATCAGCTCTATATTTTTTCTGTACGTGGCAAAGCATTTCATTCAAGTCTTTCTTTCTTTCTTTATTTCTTTCTTTCTCTCTCTCTCTCTCACTTTGTATAGCGATAGCCGCCAAGCTCAAGCGGATCGCGTTAAACGAATTTTAACTCGCCCGGTTTTCACTGGTAAGGCCACGGGCTCCGGCCCGTTTTAGATTTAATTAGCTAATTATATTGTTCATTTAATTAATATAATTGGAACGACTGGTGGTCGTCGCATGCGCGCACGAGCTTCGTCCCTTCAACTATTACCCCCGTCTTCCCTCCCCCAACGAGCTCCCCCCCTTTCCATCCATACCTGACCCCCCGCGCACGGCCCGTTGCACCTGCCTGCAGTGCCGTATTTAATGACATCCATTAACGAACGTTTACATTAACCGTAATTATCGCTGTCTCTATGGATGCAAGACCTAACGGGACGCAGCATGCCACGAATTTCCAATGGCTAGACGGTAAAAAGATTTCGCTTTTTTTTTTTTTTACGTATAGTCGATTATTGTGACGGGCGTGTATATATCTCTTTTGATGGCATCGATTTTTGGCAGACCCAGAGTTCGTTTGAACAAAAATACCAACTGAAAAAAAGTGCCAACGGAAATTTCGCCATTCTGTTTTTTATTTTTTTTTTTCCTTCGACGCGATATACAAATTTTAGATACTCGTTAATCTCAGGTCCGAGATTAAATACACCTGTACGTACGTCCCCATCTATCATCTAGATATGAATTTTAAATATCGATACGTTTCCGATTCCGATTCCGATCGAAAACAGAAAAAGATCTTGTCATCATTCCGAAAGTATATATATATGATACTTCTATACATATATACTTTATATTTACTTACCACTTTCGAAAAGGTAGAGAACGAGCGCGCGCGCTGTATTATTCGTTCATTCGTAGTCGAAATGTTACGGAGAAAGCCGAGGTAAGATGAGTTGCGCGCGCAACCATTAAACCGGGGCCACTCGGTGGGTCTCGTGACGCGCTCGTGTCTTTCCTTCTTATTCTGGTTTAGACCTTCCTCGTGGAAGGACGCTTTTATAAAACCGCATTGAGCCGCGTCGCGACGATAACGCCATCGTTGACATTGTGCGACAAGAGAGAGGGAGAGAGAGAGAGAGGGTGGAAAAGAGAGAGAGAGAGAGAGAGAGAGAGAGATAACGCGGTTACGAATACGTCCAATAAAAATTAGGATAAAAGGTTTTATTTATTTGTTTGGTTTCTTTCCTCCTCCTCCCTCTCTCTCCCTCTCTCTCTCTCTCTCTCTCTCTCTCTCTCTCTCTCTCTAATGTGTTTATTATTTAAAAATTTAACCCGCGCGTGCTGAAGTATCAAAGATTATACCGCAATAAGTGTCGGTACGATATCGAAAATTTCTTTCTCTTTCTCTCTCTCTTTCTCTACCTCTTCCACATCTTCCTGTCGCCGCTTGTGTTTCCCTCGAAAGAGCATAGTTACTGGCTTATCTCGAGTGTCGGATAAGTGTCCTCGTCTCTGAATTCCTGGAATCGTTTTCATCAGCTGCCACAGGTGGACTCATTGAGGATTTTTGCTATAGTGGATACACTTTTTTCGTCTACGACTGATGTGTAAGTCATTTTAATTACATATTATATCTTTTGATCTATGCTTTAATCATAAAAATATAATTAATATATCATTGACAATTTGATTTTAAATCAAATCGTTAAACAGACACGTCGAATATGTATCCCCATTTCTTTTTATAATATTTAATAAATTTATAAGTATATAATTGTTTTAATCAAATAAGTATCCTTTGTCGCGTGTATTTCTTCTTCGTTTTTTTTTTTATCCCAGATGGCGGCAGAAGCATCGGAGAATTGTTTTTTTTGTTTTTTGTTTCGAAAATCATTCCGAACGCGTGTAATTATTTTTCCTCGAAAGATTCAAATTTAGATTTGTTAGTCGTTAAGAAGAAGAAGAAGAAGAAGAAGAAGACGCGATTGGTTTATCCGATCGAGAGCGCCTTAAGGAAGTATCGACCTATGAAATTACGGGTCAAGATCATTATGGAGTATCGTAACCGTATATAGATCGCATCGAGGATCTCCGAGGAAGACTTTGCACGCGCGCAATTACGCTTGATTTAACGAAAACACGAAGAGAGAGAGAGAGAGAGAGAGAGAGAGAGAGAGAGAGAGGGGAGAAGAGGGAAGATATATTGCATTCTCGATAATATGCACTCCAGTCCTGTGTAATTTATTTTCGAGTGGCAATTACGTCTTTAGCGTACAGGCTTGTATTCTACAATGAAACGAACTTTCATGTATGAAGTACTTACCTTCCTAAAGAAAGAAAGAAAAAACGAAAAAAAAAAAAAAAACAAAAAGATACAATCAATGGTCAATTAATCGTGCACCGCTCCGTACAATTTCTTGCAACGTTAATGATATTAATAAGAAACTTTACCGAAAATAATTGTTCTATGTTATACTATTTTTTAGCTTTTCCTTTTTTAATCTTAAACATAACAATAATTATACTTTACTTTTTTTCCCTCTTTATAAACGCAATCGATTTATCCGATATCCATTATTATTATTATTATTATTATTATTATCATTATCATTTTCGAAATGGTTCTTACGTTTATATTCGTGTTAGCATATTTCTTTAAACTCGAAGAATTTTGAGATTCCGAGGAGAATCTTCGACCGGTCTTAAGAGACGTCGGGGTGCGGGGAGGGGGGGAAGGAAGGCGTTGTTTGTGCAAGGATCGTTCGCCTTAATGTTCACCACGGCGAGAGATGGCGAGGCATTAATTGGGGAGCGCCTTAATTGCCTGGGCGCATGCGATGACCGTTGTAATTGCCTGGACTAAGGTGCCGAGCGATGGCAGAAGGTGGGCTAAGCGAGAACACAACCCAGCATCTCTCTCTCTCTCTCTCTCTCTCTCTCTCTCTCTCTCTCTCTCTCTTTCTCTTTCTCTTCAACGTAATACATGCATAAACGTATTACTACTACTACCTTTCAATGTATTTGCATTCATATATGTATGCATGTGTTTGTAATACGCGCGCATGTGCACGTTTACATGTGTATGTATGTATGTGTGGGTGGGTGTGTGTGTGTTGGAACGGGGCTCGTATTTTGCGGGTTCTTCTAATGGAATCCAAGGTCATTCCGTAATTAACGCGCTTTAATTTATCGTCGAAACGTTAATTGCGCCGATTGCCGTTCGCTTTTCTAGAAGTGGGCGGAGAGAGAAAGATAGAAAAACAGAGAGAGAGAGAGAGAGAGAGAGAGAGAGAGAGAGAGAGAGAGAGAGAGAGAGAGATAGAAAATGATTTGCGTTAGACGAGAAATCGCATCTCTNAGAGAGAGAGAGAGAGAGAGAGAGAGAGAGAGAGAGAGAGAGAGAGAGAGAGAGAGAGATAGAAAATGATTTGCGTTAGACGAGAAATCGCATCTCTATGTGAAACTTCTCGTCAAATGATTTATCGTATTCGACGATTTCGTATATAATAAACTCGAGAATCGTTTTAGAAACGATTTCTTCTTTTCCGATAAAAATCTTTCGAGTACTATTACAGTCATGTGCTACTCTCTCTCTCTCTCTCGCATTTTCTATTTCTCTTCGTGAGAAAAAGTACGAGGAATTTTCAACATTCGAGTTTTCACGTAGTAGTCCCGACATTATCTCAGTTGATATACCTACATATAGGTTTATGCGTGTAGGTGTCTCCTCGAGAGATCGTCTCGAGGGAAGCAAAAGAGGGGTGTGGGGGGGAAGGGGGTGGGGTATGGGGTTGGCGGGTCGAATTCGTGCGCTCGAAGGGGCGCGTCTTCCGATTGGTTTTTCGCTTCGGTGTACCGACTAGACTCAGTCAAGGTGGGAGTCGGAAGTCAATCTTCGCGGCCGGAAGTGGTCGCCATCCTCCTGGATCTTCCATTTCTCTCCCTCCACTCACCCCCTCACTCATCCTCTCTCTCTCTCTCTCTTTCTCTCGCATACACTCTTCCTTTCCTTACGAAACAGTTTCTATCGTTGGATTGCGTTTCCAACGCAAGTCGACGCTATCTTTTCCTACGGGAGTTGCTCGTCTTCTACACTTTCCCCCACTCCTTCATCCTATTTCTACTACTACTACTACTACTACTATTACTACTACTACTACTACTACTTTTCCATCTCCTCAGAGTGATTTTACCGGTTTGCGTTCGTCCTTTCTCTCTGGACAAAGAACCAGAGAGAGAGAGAGAGAGAGAGAGAAAGAGAGAAAGTGTGTGCCGCCAACCCCTAAATGAAATCCTGAAATTAAAGCCATATATTAACCTCACGGCGTCTCTTAAATTAAAAAACAACATTTTTACGAGCAAAGCTTAGGTACACTCTTGTCTGTAGAAAGAGAGTGTGAGAGTGAGAGAGAGATAGAGTGAGAGAGAGAGAGAATGAGTAAGCGAGAGATAAGTAACGGGGTAAGGGGGTACACTTACACTTCGATATCTACTCCCACCCTCTCTTCCCCTTTCGTTTCTCCTCGTTCGTTCCTCGTGGACCGTGGAGCGACGTTCTATCGTTCGTAAATTGCGTTTTTAAATTCGTCGGGGGTTGAGCCTCGTGCCGTGCCGGGCCGTAAGCGAGTATTTCCGAAACCTGTCGAAAATATATTTGATTACTCGTTGAAAAAGGATTTTCCATAGGATTTCTTTTTTTTATAATCTAAATAATAATACAGCGTGTGTGTGTGTCCAAGCTCGCGTGAATGAAAAATGTTAAAAGTGTGTGTGTGTGGGTTTTTTTTCTTTGCAAATAATTGAAAGGCGATTGAAAACTTTTGTTTCAATTTCGGGGGAAACGAATTAATGGTAATTTATTTTGCACGATCATTCTCCCATATTATTCGATGTTCTTATTTTGAAGATATCGGTTACACTATAGGAAAAGGACATAGGAATGAGGAATGATAAAAGCAAGAGGGTTGGGGGATATGTGAAAGTAGAAGGGTAGAATGAGACAGCAAAGAGTAGATTCGCGCTGAGCTGTGGGGGCTGCATACTTTGGAAATACTACGGCCGAATCGAGTAAGGGTGTATAATGGAAGTTGAAATTGGTCGGCCCTGTCCCGGCTGGGCAAGCTTTCTCTCTCTCTCTCTCTCTCTCTCTTTCCTTCTCTTTCCTACTACCCCTATACGAGCGGCTATCGAGGGAAACGCATTCCATGCCAAAATTACTTCGCGCTGCGATCCGACGGGATATACAAGGCACCGGCTAGGATTGAGGTTAGCCTTTCGTTGCTTTACACAATAACAAAAATATATATATGTATGTATATACAATATATTATATATATATATGAATTTATCCTTTGGAAGAAAATACGAATCTAAATTCTTGTGTTTTGTCTTTGATTCTTATTCATACAAATCGTTTTCCGAATTTGTCGTTTAAACTGTTACTTAACTTCAATCGAATTTTTCATCATCGAGAAATAATTAATTGCGGAAATTGATTTTAAGGATAGCCGTGGCATTAATTTCAATCGTTAGAATGGGAAAGAAGAAGGGTTTTCGAAAGAGGGAAAGGGAAATTGGTAGACCTCATGAAATATTCGCCAATCTGGGAAGCATCTATTTACCTATCCGGTTACTCATCCGGCTATCTATCCGTCCGACTGCATGCCTCCTCTCTTTTTATCTCCCTGGTTGGCCGTCCTTGTCTTCTTTCGCCTCTGTTGGTTTCACATTTGTGGAGCGTTGATTAAAACCACTCGACGAACGTGGAAGGAGAAAAGAGATAACGAGAGAGGGAGCGATCCGAAAGAGAGAGAAAGAAAGAGAGAGAAAGAAAGAGAGAAAGAGGAATAGGTTCAGTATATAGGGAGTTTAAGGTGCGTGTGGTTGGACGCGTGCTCGAGCGCGCAAATCGAACGCAAGCGCGAGGAAGAAGGGGTAGAAAGAGAGTGGCTAGGGAAAGGGGGTGCTACGGGGGGGTTGAAACGAAATGAGAAGAAGGAGTAAGAGGAGAATAGGAAAATAGGAGGGGAGGAAGTGTGGTGGTGTGCGCGCTAGTGGAAAGAGAAGGAGAGGAGAGGACCAAGGCGTTGCTTGCTTAATTACTAAAAGCTAATCAATTCCAGGAGGAAGTAAAGTTTAAATTGCGAACTAAAGTATACCCGGCTCCCGGACGTAGACCTTGCAAAGCGATATTACCGCGCGGTGCATTCTGCAATTAGCCCGTGGTAAAGTCATTGAAAGGAAATTATGGGCGGTACCCGTGAACGCGAACGCACCACCGTCCGTTTTCGCAGTTATGAAAATTTCAAAGCCGTCTGAGTGCCTGTTATACGCCACTAGCCGATTCGATTAAAAAATCGAATAAGGATTACGTCCCAAACTTTCTTTCTTTCTTTTCTTACAGAGTGCAATATATAAAATTTATTATTATAGTAACTATAACCAAGTTTGTCCCAAGACCCCGGTCCGAATTCTTCGGTTTTCACGTCGAAAAAATCGAACGCATTTGACCGTTCTGGACCAATGACGGTTCACTGAAATTCTCGTTCAACTTTAGCCGATCTTTTCGTGTATTATTAAAAAGAAAAGATTTTTCCAACGAGCTCTG